CAAAGGAACATGCAGATGAGCAACCCTGGGCTTGAAAGTATCAGAGAAAGTATTAGGGAAGAAAGTCCTGTGAGATTCCTAGATGCCTGGCAGGAGGCAAGAGGCACGGATTTTAATAACAAACACCCAGTGCCATGTGATGAACAGGCAAAAGGAGAGCTGCCCACTCTTCTTTGAATATTTTACACTCTCTCTTCCTTAGCCAAACTCACAGTGTAGGAGGAGCTAAGGTGGGAGGAGTTGGGAGAGGAAGAGAAAAAAGGAAAAGGAGGAGCTAGTGAGGGCAGAGATGTAGGAGGATGGAGAACCACACAGGTATGGAGAGCACTCATGGGGAACAACCTATAAACTTATAATTAGGTTAGCTAATTGGGATACAACTCTCTTTGTATGGGCACCTTGTTATTAATCATTATCAAACATATAAAGCCTTTGATTAACCTATAAGAATTGGAGTCTCATTCTCTTATTGGGACCACATGGATGGTGGAATGGTCTGGGCAATGCCTTGCCTTGCGGAGACAGCGTGGAAGATTAGCAGAGCCATCTCTCATGCTGGCATCTAGTGGGTGGCAGGGCTGGTGTTTCTGGCAGCCCAGCACTCACGTGGCCTCAGGCCAAGAAACATGGTGTCTGGGCTGGGCAGAGCCGCTGCAGCTTAGATAGTCGGCCTGAGCCAGAGGCCATTTTAAATAATTACCACAACATCATAGTCAGGAAGGATGGCAGTCATGAAGTTGTAGACCTTAGATTTGAGTCTACAATATTTCTAACAGAGCAAGGAGAAAGAGACAGGGCTCTAAAGAGGTAAAAATGGGAGGGGCCTTCAGTGAGAAGGTTAGTTTCAGATAGCTGTTATGCGTGCCATCTGATATGGACTTCATAGTGGTATAAATAGAATTATCTTCAAGAACATCACAGAGTAAATCATAGCAATTTATCTTGAGATTTTTCTAGCTAAATTCATCAGATCAATTTTATTGACTCTCAAATAATGTCTGAGATATCTTAAATAGTGAACCTGGTCTTGTATAGTAGAAGCAGGAAATGTAGAGAGATATTAGCCAGGATAGAGATTAGCCAATAACTCTACAAAAGTGATAGAAAGCAGATTTAGAGAGATATACATGGGATTTCCGAGTTTTAAATATGAGTCATGAAAATAAAAAGCATCGCGGAACGAGTGGGAAGATACTATCTATGTAGCAAGTGGCTAGGATGTGTAGAATCTGTAAAAGTACATGAGAATATCTAATATTACTCTTAAAGCAGTTTTCTTTTTTTGTTTTTTTGTTTTTTGTTGTTGTTTTTTTGTTTTTTGTTTTTTGTTTTCTTTTTTTCGAGACAGGGTTTCTCTGTGTAGCCCTGGCTGCCCTAGAATTCACTTTGTAGACCAGGCTGGCCTCGAACTCAGAAATCCGCCTGCCTCTGCCTCCGAAGTGCTGGGATTAAAGGCATGCGCCACCATTGCCCGGCTTAAAGCAGTTTCCTAAAGTTCAAAATTATTTCAAAATAGAAATTTGAATATAATATGTAAATTACTTAGAACAGCATCTGATAGCCATAAAATACTTAGCATGGGACACTGATGCTATTAGCATTACCCTGATTAGCACATTCTAAAAGGGGTTGTAAGAAAAGAAAACTACATGTAAATTGTTCCTCATTTGCGTAAATAGAAAATTCTTAGTAAAGTTTTAGCTACTGAAATCACACAACATCTTAAAAGGATAATCGTGACCAAAGGAGGTTAATTCTTGAAATGCAAAACAAATTGAATATTTCAAAACCAAATTGGTATAATTTGCTATATTAATTAGTGGGAAATGTGTGATCACCTTTATGGTAGTCAATTGGGGTGAATGTTAAGAAATATAACGTAACAAGGTGGTGTCTTTGGAGGGCCCATGTCTGGTACAAAAGAGGTTTGTTGTGGGAGGGGAAATGAGGGGAAGAGATAGAGGCAGCAAGAGGGCCATGGCAGACAGACAGGGAGCAGAGGGAGTTCCACAGAGACAGAGAGAGGGAAAAGAAGGGGCCTGTATATGGAGGAGAGAGAGAGAGAGAGAGAGAGAGAGAGAGACAGATCTGAGGTGGCTAGTTCTATCCATCCATTTACCTATGAATTTCATAATGCTTTTAACATCTGAATAATATTCCATTGCAGAAGTGTACGGATGTAGTATTTTTAAAAGCTAAAATTTATAGTACATCTCAATAAATGTCATCTTAAAAATACTGAGAGAAGTGAGGCAGTAGCTTAGTAGTGGAGTGCTTGTTTCGAAAGCAAAAAGCACTGAGTTCATTGTCTAATGCTGAGAAAGGAAAATTGAAGGAAGGGAGGGAGGGAAGAAGGGAAGGGAAAGGAAGAGGGAAGGAGACTGGGAGGGAGGGGGAAGGGAAAGGTGGGAAGAAAGGATGGAGAAAATGAAATTATACATTCATTTGTCAATGAACTCTACAGTCTTTTTGTCTCTTCATATTTTAGATTCTCCCCTAAGTGTTTATGTTGATACATAAAGGAATAATTGAAAAGGAAAATGCTGCTTTTTTTTTTAGACTAGAATGTCTGCTAACAGTTGTAAAAGGAATGATGGAGTCAAAAAGTTCAGTATTTTAGACCTATAAATTAATAACTGATGCAAAGGAATGCTGTCAGTGACACTGAAGTGGTCAGTGAAGACTGATGGATGAGCAAAGGGATGCTTAATCTTGAGATTTCCCTCAAAATTATATAAAATATTGACAGGATAATCTGCTGACTACATGGTAGACAGAATGAGTGGATGTTATCATAACTAGGAATCCAATAAGGAAATAAACCAGAATCATCTATCTCCTGAAACAAGGCTTGAAAGAGTGCTTTTTCTGGTATTCTTGTGAAAATTGCAATCAATAAAGTGTCAGAGATTCCCAGACTACAAGGCACAGTATAAATAGGAAAAAAAAAGAAAGAAAGAAAAAGAAAAGGAAAGAAACAATATTTAAAATTTCTGAAATGCACCTAAACCAATACTCAGTGGGAAATAAAATAACTGCATATGGTGGTACCATTCTATCATTCCAACTTCTAGAGAGGCTGAGGCAGGAGGATTATATCACCCCAGGAGTTAAGGACTGACTAGACAGTGTAGCAAAATTCTACCGTTAAATCAATAGTTAAGTTTTAAATTACATAGCAATAAAATACTCACATAACAGAGAAAGACAAGTGTAAATCTTGTCTTTTATAAGGAATATAAAAGTAAAACTTCTGGGCCTGTGAGATAGCTCAGGAGTTGAAAGTACGGGCTGCTATTCCAGAGGCCCCAGCTTTGATTCTGAGAACCCACACAGTGGCTCACCACCATCTGTAATTCCAGTCCCAGGGAATCTGATGCCCTCTCCTGGCTTCCATAAGCATCAGGTAGCTACATGGTGTGCATGCATACATGCAGGCAAAACACTCATACACATGAAATAAAATACGAGTTTTTACAAAAGAGAAGTAAAATTTGAAATTAAAAGAGTAAACAATAAAGGCCAGAGATAGAAAGAAGAAAAACAAAAGGAAAATCAATAAAGTGAAAAGCTTTTCTTTCTTTATAATAATTAACAAATATATAGGCAATAAATATTGATAAGAAACTATGATCAACATGATGCATATGATGCTAATACTTGGACAAATTAAAATTTTAAAGTGATGCAAAGTACCAAAACTGAATTAGAAGAGAAAATATTGCTGGATCTATAAAGACTGAAAATTAAATTAGAAATTGTAAATGAGGAAGAGAAATTTCTGGGGAAGACCATAGAATTCTATATCATCCAAATCCGTTACTATAAACACATAGTAATGAATTATTTGTGTGATAACAAAAACATAGTTTTTTATTTCAACAACCTCTGTAGTTCTTATTTCAGTCTAATGAAGATGTAAGGCATACTAGTCTTCATCCACTGCATTTATTTAGCGTTAAGAAAGCTCACAAGAAACAGCTATTCACAACAGCATCAAAGGCGTGTGTGATCTTATTCCACCCACAGCCAGCTTGAGAAATGAAGCAAAGAAATGTCTCAAATATCTCAACTCAGGAACCCATCAGCTCTGGGTTCCCTGACATACCCATTCTTTATAAGTCACAACATTTCTTGCAGCAGCATGAGAGCAGTCTCAGTACAGTGGAGTGGAGGCTCAGTTGCATCTCGCTAATGGTGGTTATTCTTTAGAAAGTCTAAACAAGGATGCACTGTGGCTGGTCCTGAACCTGTTCCTTTTAATTCTCTTTCAATATGTAGTATTCTGTTAAGTTCCTAAAAACTACTTCCGTTAACATTGTAGATAGGATAAAACATGATGCAATCCTTAGGCTCTGCTGAGCAAAAGTCCAAAGAAGCAGATGTTAAACATCTGGACATACATCACTCAAAAGCTAAGAGCGTGCTTGTATTCAGAAAAGACATGAATTATTTTTTTTTTAGAATAGAATGTCAGCTAACAGTTGTAGAAGGAATGATGGAGTCAAAAGGTTCAGTATTTTAGACCTATAAATTAATAACTGATGCAAAGGAATGCTGTCAGTGACACTGAAGTGGTCAGTGAAGAGTGACGGATGAGCAAAGGGATACTTAATCTTGAGATTTCCCTCAAAATTATATAAAATATTGACAGGATAATCTGCTGACTACATGGTACTGAATTGTTCTGCTTTGAAAAACTGCCTCTGAACGCCACAAACTCAACTCCATTGCACTGCATTCACTGCACTGGTTCTCATCTGACTCACTCAGCTATCCAGAACTTCACTGACCTTAACTAATAGCTATTCTCCTAAGAGGTGAGTGTAGCCCATCCTGCCAAATCTTTCTCTGATTCATCACATTGTCTGTCTCTCAATTGGATGTCATTGTTTGAGATTAAAAGTGTGTGTTAAGGGCTTTTTTATATTCCAGCCAGATCACACAGACCCAGAAAGTCTTTGGATATGATCAGAACAGCCTGTTGCTGGATTAAAACTCCTCAACAGAGGTGGGAACCAGGCGTGAGGTCCTGTTCCCCGTAATGTATGGAGGTAGGAAAAGGGGATCCGGTCCTCTCGGAGTCATGTCTTTGGTGCTTGCGGCCTCCTGTTCGAGAGTTCTATCCTCAGACACCGGAACACCTCTTCTCCATGCAGAAATGTAGCTAGGTCCAGCAGTCCCCTCTGGATTGCTCAACCTTTTTCTTTTTTCTTCAGGTCTCCATGACTCCCCGGAGTGATAACGTTTTCTTTGCTGTTTATTATTGAACCAATAAAGTTTGTGACTCCGCCCCTAAAAAAATTCCTGAACAGAACTGATGCAGAGGCCATAGAGCAGTGCTGCTGATAGGCTTGCTTATCATGACGTACTCAGCCGTGTTTCTGATAGAACCCCGAACCACCACCTCAGGGGTGTCACTACCCACATGGTCTGGGCCCTCCTCATGAATCATTAATTAAGAAAATGCCCTTACAATAAAATCTTATAGATGTAGTTTCCCAGTTGAGGTTTCCTCCTTTCAGATAACTAGCTTGTGTCAAGGTAACATAAAACTAGCCAGCACATACACACATATAAATACACATACCATAATCTAGGTTTAAATCTAGGGTTTCACATATCAAAGATGTAATATTGGTCTTTATTTATCTATTTATATCACTTGACATAGGGATTTTTTCATTTATATCCATTTTCCTGAAGATAACATGAGTTCATTTTTTTTTCATGGCTCCACAAATTAAATTGTGTGTATACCACATTTTCTTCCTTCATCCATTGATAGATATTTAGGTTGGTACCACTTACTTCTCCTATAAATACTGAAGTTATATTTCTTCTCTTTATAACAGCCACTCAGACTGAGGTTGGTTAGAACAAGGTTAGTTAGTTTATATTTGCATTTTCCTGGTCTCTAAGGATGTTGAATATTTTTCCAACATTTCTTCTTTTGAAAATTGTCTACTTAGGTCATTAGTCCATTTGTGGGCTGCATAGTTTGGGTTTGGGAGTTTTGTTTTTATAATCTTTTATATAACTTTGATGTTAATCCTTTGCATGACATGGAATTGACAATAGTTTTTCCACCTGTTGTCTGTCTTTTCATTCAGCTGGTTATTTCCTTTGCTGTGGACATTATAATTTCATGTCAGCTCATTTTGTGGACTTAGTTTTCATGCTATTGTAATCTTCCTCAGAACATACTCATCAAGTATTTTTGCTATTTTCCTCCATTTTCAACGTTTCAAGTCATGACCGAGTTTTAAGTGGATTCTGTGCAGGATTAGAGAAGGGAATCCAGTTTTTCTAGATGTCACTACATGGTGAAATCCAGTTTCAGATGCACTTTGTGTTTAAAAGCAAAAGCAAGCAAGCAAACAAACAAACAATAACTGTTCTATTCCTCCAAGGTATGGTTCTTGGTCTTGATAATTTGTCAAGATCTAAGTAGTTATATCTATGAAGTTACCTTTGGTTTCTCTATTTATTATATTGTCATACATTTCTACTTTCATGCCAGTACCATACTGCTTTTATTAGATTGCTCTGTGATATAATTTGAGATCAAGTATTATAAAAATTTCACCATTTGTTTTTCTACTTAGTATTTCTGTCACTGTTTGGCTTTTCCTTTTTTCTTGTGGTTCCACATAATTTGGAGATTGCTTTTTCTAGTTCTGCGAAGAGTGTCATTAGAATTTTTTATGAGATTTTATTAAGATAATAGAAAAACATGGAAACAATCAAATATAGATAAAATTTAACTTACCATCTCTATGACAGTAGTTATGTTTATCCATACACATGTGATACCATTCCATCATCCAGTGTCTTCTCTAGTTTCTTTGTTCAATATCTTACAATTTTCAATGTAAAATTTTCTACTCCTTGTTAAGTTTAGTTCTAGGTAGCTCATATTTAATTTTATTTTAGCTACCGTGCTTTATCTGGAAGCTATTGTGCATAGGATACTGTGGGAGATAAAGCGTAAAAAGCACACAATGAACCACCTATCCCCCAAAACCCAACAAAATTATAAGAATTAAAAATATCTGTCAAAAGAAACTATAAATGCAAACAACCTCAATTCATCAATAAAGAGATACAGACTGACTGACTGGATTTAAAAACTAGTGGCTATTATTTTTTGTCTCTAAGAAATACAACATATTAGCAAAAGTGTTGATAGACTTGTTAAGAAGGAAATCAGAAAGTACCCGGCTTAAGCTAGGATGTGCAAAAAAAGTCTTCTGCTGCTCATCTTTTGGGTTGCATAGTGTCTAGCTTCCCTACTCTTCACAACGGTCTTACCGTTGTAGGCATTTCCTCACTGAAGCACAACTTGAGGCCAAATGGATGTGAACTTATTTGTGGATGTTCTTTGATCTGAGACCCCTAGATTTTCTCTCAGTGTGGCAGCTCAGCCACTGCACCCCAACTACTATAATCCTGATAAAATATAATTTCTTCCTAATGCTGCCCTACTTGGAAAAGTCACTATTTCACCAACCCCCAAAGAGTTGTGGACTGTGAAGGCTATGGGCTAGTCCTGAGACCAGGGATGCCCAATTTCATTTGGATTACTCTTTGGAAGTGGATTTGGTTTCTCTTTCCTTGTGAGGGAACTGCACCGTTGAGGTTAAGTTCTGCTTTCTTCCCTACATTGTCTATTGGGTCCTTTCTGATAGCCTGTCTCTTCCTTCATGGATTTCTGCTACTCTTCTTCTTTTTGAGATATATTCTTCCTTTTCTTCCTCATCTTCCTCTTTCTTCTCCTCTTCTTCCTCTTCCTTTTTCCTTACTCCTCATTCTTATTCCTATTCACACCTCAACAGGCTATATAGAGGCAGGCTTTAGTCTGCCATCTTACCCAATACTTCCATTTTAAGGATCATCTTTCTTATAGACCTCAGATTGAACTATACTGATGATTTCTATTGTTTTTGTCAGGGTTTTACCATGTAACTCTGGCTCTTCTAGAACCTCCTTGTGGACCAGATTGGCCTCAAACTCACAGAGATCTGCCTTAAGATTAAAAGCAAATGACACCATGACCAAGTAATAATTCTTATTTTAAAAAAGTAATGCATATTCCAAACAAATTTTACAACTAATTTTTTTTTAAAAAAAAGGAACATGCTTTGAGTACTTTTTACTTCCTAGTCTACTTTTGCATTAGTTGGGTTCCCTATAAAGACCTGGGCACACTCATGTGCATGCACAAGAGATCCAACAAAATGCAAGGCTCAGCATCCATGGAAGGCAAAGGAAGACAAGCTGGGAAAAGAAGTCAAGCAGTAGTACAGGCTCAACAGAGGCTCCGGTTGCCTACTAGGACTCCATAGGCATGGCACCTCAAACTGCCATGTTTTGTGCATCAGTGAGGAAAGTGGAAAAAGATGGCAAAGCTGAGAATGGACACCGCAGGGAAGAGAAAAGAGCTCTCAAGCCTTTACAGTCTCATGCTGATGTAGGTGTCTCTGGGTAATGGTCCACAAGATGGTTCTCTGTAGCACACTATTCTCTGCAGGTAATTAATAAGCCAAGGCCTAACTTCAATCAACCTTCTCAACAATTGGGTCATCAGTCCTTTATTCCTTAAAGATGATATGAGAACTATGTTACAGCCTACATTACAATTTTAAGATGACAAGAGAGGTATACAAAGTGCGTACCTCTTATACTGAAGTTTATAGCAGGCACCATTAGTTGCAGAGTCAGCGAAGCTTCTTGGATGGTTTGGTTGAGGCAATGATGTACTCGACCCCTGCTTATGCAAATAATAGTTTCAGATTCCTAAAGCTGCCTTCTATCCCCACCCCATGCATAGTAGTTGAAGGTGACTCATACAGCCCAATTTCAGGTAATAAAGTACAAGACAGTATTTGCTATAAGAATTATGAAAAGCACTTTGTTTTTCTTGTATAAGGAACAAAAGAAGATGACAGCCCCCCTTATCCTTCCTGACTTTTCTATTCCTTTCTTGTACGAAGATATGGTACTTAACCACTGCAGCATCCTTTTGACAACTAAGAGGAAAAGGTCAACAGAAATAATGATTTTTTTCCTAATATCATTGAGCAATTGAGTAAAGCCGTAAACATTCCTTCACGTTTCCTGCTTTATAACTGAAATAAGACCTGATTGTTTAGGTAGCTAAACTTGAACTTTCTGTTGCTCACAGCAAAGCATAATCTAAGTGCATCTCAGCCTTATCCAGTGGATGATGACTCAAATGGAGATTTTAATGTAATAGGCATATGTTGTGTGTTGTACACATTTGGGTATGTTTATCAAATTGTGGTTTGTTCTAAATAAGTTTGAAAACACTCAAACTCAACAGTCTTAGGATTTCATATTGTATTTTAGCATTTCTCATTAGCCTTTAGATGTTCTGCTATAACTAAATTTAGTTAATCAAAAGTTCTGCTTCAGACAAAAAAAGATTCAAATGAAATAATTTTATCAAAATGTAGTCCTAAAACCTTTGCCCACTAATGTGGGATGCCTGTGAAATGTCATTAAGCTTGCGTCCTACCCTATAGCTCGTTAATTCATTTCCTATTGCTGCAATGGGTTTCAGAAGTAAGTTTCTAGCAGCATCCACTTTTAGTTGCATCAAACAAAAAGAGCAATGCTTCCGATTTTCTCATGCCAAAGAAAGATTACTCTGGCAAGGCAATGAGCTCTGGAAATAGTGACATGGTGTGCTATGCTTTAGGATGTGGTCTAAGCCCAGCAAAAGAAACTGACTTTGCAGTGTGTTTGCAGCCCTGGTTGCTGGTTACAATTGGCATCCTGTCTCTCTCCACTGGTTATTTTTATCTGCCTGCAATCAGTCCCCCTGCACTGTCATGCTTGCTTGGAAGTCTACATGCTGAAGTAGAGACTCATGACAGAGATATGCTTCTTTCTACACTAAAGAGGGAGAAAATGACATTTATGGTTAATATAAGCAAGTCCCACGTTGCCTGTGAGACAGGGCATCTGTACATCATGATCTTTCAAGGGCATCCTCTCCAAAGCTTATTGTAGTATAAATAATGAAGTTGGACTTCAGTCTTTCCTGTGCTTCCTTTTAAATGTGCCCTGCTTTCACTTGTGTTTCTTTATCCAGGTATTCTCACAGGATAGCTTACAGGC